ACCGGTAAGACGTACATAGAATGATAAATGTGACAGGGAAGGGAAATACACCATAAAACATAACTACAAAAAAAAGGCATGAAGAGGAAGTGGTAGAGGAAGTGAGGGAATGAAAGATGGTCAGGGAGAAAATTTGGTTTCGAATCTGTTTTTTTCTCATCTGTTTAAACACTAAGCTGTTGGATTTGTGCTGATGTCACCTTATACGTTGAGAGCGTTACCGTTGTGAATCAGTCCGGGTTATTTCGTATTGTGAAGGTCATATTAATTCATTAATTGGTGTAGTTTAGACAATGTGATATTTTTCGGATAATTTGAAATTAGTCCTATTACTATCACAGTTTATTTCACCTTAAGATTAATCCCCCAGTTTATTTCGCCTTAGAATTACCTCCAGTTTATTTCGCCTTAGAATTACCTCCAGTTTATTTCACCTTAAGATTAATCCCCCAGTTTATTTCGCCTTAGAATTACCTCCAGTTTATTTCGCCTTAGAATTACCTCCAGTTTATTTCACCTCAAGTATTAACCACCCTAACGCTAATCCAACTTAACATATGAGCGGGCGCGGGAGAAATATTTTTAATAATCTTGAATAAAGTGTGTGAAAAAGTGGCATGAAGAATGTACAGTTTACGTTTCTGTGAGATTATTATTGTTATTATTTAAATATTATTGTTATTGATTTTGTATTATTATTTTATTATTATTATTATTATTATTATTATTATTATTATTATTATTATTATTATTATTATTATTATTATTATTATTATTATCATCATCATCATAAATTTTCTCGACCTTCTTTTGAAAGTACGGCGATAGAAGACTCTGTGTTTACAAAGCATCGCAAGAGAGGAAGCTAGATCACATCCTCAACCGCTACACTTTAGTTTGACATTTGACGTGGGAAGAGCAATTCGCACACGAAGGCAGTGAACTGTTATTTGATATTCTGTCGCTGTCATCCATCATGTTTACTCACCATCGTCACTCCTACTCTCTCTCTTACTAACATGATATTGTTCTTCATTGGCTATATATATATCCAGGTGGGTAAATTCCTGACTACATAGAAACATAAGAAAATAAGGAGTCTGCAATAGGCCGGTTGGCCTGTACATGGCAGCTCCTGTCGAGAGTTACTACCACTCTATCATCCTTGAATCTATCTAGCCTCCTTTTGAAACGGAGAATCGGGTGATACACTACGATAGTTTAGTCTGAGGAGTTTATCTATACATTAGGATTTCTTTGTACGTAATGTCACCGTTGTGAAATATTCACATAAATCGATTGCCATTTCCAGATGCCCTTAATGTATTTTTAAATGATACCTAAAGACTATACTCAGATCACCAGCGTGGTTAAACCCTGATTTAAAAAAAAGTAGTTAAACCCAGAATAAAAAAGGTAAAGTTAAACCCAGAATAAAATCTCATAGTTGAACCCAAAAATAAAGTTAAATTAAAGCCAGAGAAAACAACAATAAAACCCAGAATAAAAAGCGTAGTTAAACATAAACAGACTTGCAAACGGGTGAATAAACACGTACTGTAGATGTGAAAAGTGACAGACGAACCATTTCCTCCCCCGTCAAATATAGACTGACGGAGTCTATTACTCCCAGATGTTTAGTTAGGTTCCGAAATGCCAAGGACGAAACAGAATCCGTCTACGGTCAACATACAGTATTCACGAGGGAGAGCTGTTTGCACTCGATGCCGGGACCGACTGGACACCTCGCCGGCGTCAACAGCTGGACTGATTCCTAAGTCAACATTGAAGTGTCTTTGACGTCATTTTTGCTACGATCTTAATGTGTTTTTACTTAATAATAATAAAGAGTAAAATCATGCTACAGGTTTACAGTTGGTTTGGCATGTGTATAGACGATGCAGGTATATAGTTGAGCATGTGTATAAACAATGCAGGTTGGTACACGGTATACATAGACCGTGGAGGTATATAGTTTCCAATGTATCAAGACAATATACATAATCACAGTAATAGTAAACAAGGGAATTTTACCAAGGATAGCCGACAAAGCCATTCAGATCTTTATTCCGGTAGGTTCCTTTCGTAAGCAGATTAAATGGGAATTGAATTAGGATTAAATATGGATATATATGAATCTTTGAGACTCGGAAGTTTGTTACCGATCCTTCAGCTAAGACTACCAGGATGCGAGAACCGAGTAGCGTAGTAAGTGTAAAGTAACGTAGTAAATGTAGTAAAAGTAGTGTAGTAAGTGCAGTAAAAGTAGCGTAGTAAGTGTAAAATAGCGTAGTAAGTGTAAAGTAACGTAGTAAATGTAGTAAAAGTAGTGTAGTAAGTGCAGTAAAAGTAGCGTAGTAAGTGTAAAATAGCGTAGTAAATGTAGTAAAAGTAGTGTAGTAAGTGCAGTAAAAGTAGCGTAGTAAGTGCAGTAAAAGTAGCGTAGTAAGTGCAGTAAAAGTAGCGTAGTAAGTGCAGTAAAGTAGCGAACTAACTGTAAATTAGCGTAGTAAGTACAGTAAAAGTGGGGTATTAAAACAGTAAAGTAGCGTAGTAATGCAGTAAAAGTAGCGTAGTAATGCAGTAAAAGTAGCGATTTAAGCACAGTAAAAGTAGCTAGTAACTGCAATAAAAGTAGCGTAGTAAGTACAGTAAAAGTAGCGTAGTAAGTGTAGTAAAATAGCGTAGTAAGTGTAGTGAAGTAGCGTAGTAAGTGTAGTAAAGTAGCGTACTAAGTGCAGTAAAAGTAGCGTAATAAGTGTAAAGTAGCGTAGTAAGTACAGTAAAAGTAGCGTAGTAAGTGCAGTAAAAGTAACGTAGTAATGCAGTAAAACTCGATGGCAATTTGATACTTCCTTACCCACAGTATAAAGTAGCAATATTAACGTAGGAAGTCCCTTATACAAGTCGCTATTATATCCAAAAGTTGGGTGGTGAGGTGGTGTGGAAAAATCGCTCAATAGTATTTGGTTACAGCTTATGATTATAGTAATTATACCACTTGAAAATTGGATGTTATAGTTTTTGACCTTTCGTGCCTCGAACATCTGCTTAAAATGATTAACACACTAACGCTACTTGGGGTTAGGTTAAAGTTAAGTTAGATTAGGTTAAGCTAGTTTGGTTTGATTAAGGTTAAAAAATTTTAGGCTTGGCTAGATTAGGTTAGATTAGGGTAAGTTAGGTTAGTTTAGGTTAGGCAGTGAAGGATTAGGTTAGTTTATAGCTTTGTGTGTTTAATCATCTGGTGAAACTAACTAGGGGTGGCTAATCTTCATGTAATCTGTATAATTTGTAATGCCGTCACCCAAGGAAGTAAAGTTTTAAACAAGAGCGATGCACGCTTTGAACTTTGGGCGAGAGAGATCGATACTTTGCTGGCAGTGGCTGAGGTGAGGCCAGGGTTTCGAGGCTCTTGCATAGCTGGTGTGTCTCCAGGCCGCCAGGGGGCTAATGTCTCGCGACTGATTTTTACGGCACATGATGTAAACAAACGTAAAATAAAAATAGTTTTTTCTTAAGTTTCTTTCCTACTGGTCAAAATTGCCACGCTGCTAAGCGCTTTTAATTTATTTTACCCCCTTTGTTTTTAATAACCATCATTCCTGAAATGTAAAGAAAAAAATCCTTAATAGGGTTTTCAGTTGTGGGTAAAAAAAAAAAAAGCCACAAACCATCTTTTCATTAAGCATGAACATAAATTTCTGAATAGTTCATTTACCAGTTTTTAAAAATTCTATTTTTCAGATTCTTTTCTGCCCGTCACCGTGTTTTCTCTGTAAATTCTTTCCCTCTAATTATGCTGGATAATGGGAATCAAGAACACACACACACACACGCACACACACGCACACGCACACACACACACACACACACACACACACACACACACACACACACACACACACACATACCTCCTCACACACACACACACACATACCTCACACACACACACACACACACACACACACACACACACACACACACACACACACACACACACACCTCCTCCTCCCACACACACACACACACACACACACACACACACACACACACACACACACACACACACACACACACACACATACACACACACACACACACACGCACACACACGCACACGCACACACACACACACACACACACACACACACACACCAGGAGGCGATGTTGAGAGAGGAAAAATGTGTACAATTAATTGAGATAAGTTTTAACCCAATTGAATGGCAGGAGTTGATCTCAGCCGAATAAAATACCAAAGTCCGCCGCTACATAGAGGGTTGAAGCCTCACATACCGTCAAGTGACACTATACCGTACGTGAAATACTACCAATGACCTTCAACACAGTATTCAGTAAAGGGATCACCTGAAGATTAACCACCCTAACGTTGCCTCGGAAGGTTAGGGTGGGTTACGATGGTTTTAGCGTTAGGGTGCTGAATCTTCAAGTGAAATTTGTTGGGGTATCCTCAAGTGATCAGAAAGGTTTAGAAAAGTAGCAACATGTTAATCGTCTGTGGTATTGAGCACGACCTATGATGCACTATTTTTAGAAGAATGATGTGGGTGAATAACAGTTTAGAGTATGTAGTATTGGAACCATCATCAACGTACGTACACAGAAGACCCAAAACAGATGACAGGGCTCCGCTGTCCCTGTGAGGACCCCTGTGGGTGTTGCCGTCCTGGGACGGCCCCTGGAAGATGTTGTCCTGGCAGGGCCCCTGGGGCGCTAGCGCTCATGGCACGTCCCATGGGGCGCCACCGCTCCTAGCAGAGAGCCCTTTGGGGCGCCGCTGTCCCTGTGAGGACCGTTGGGGGGGCGTTCCCTGGGAGATCACCTGGGGGCTGCCGTCCCTGGGTGAGTCACTGCAGGCGCCAGCGCCCCTTGGCAGGGCCCTGGAGCCCTCTGAGAATGTCAACCCCTGGTAGGACCCCTGGGGACGTTGCCGTCATGGGAGGGTCCTGCGGACGCCACCTTCCATAGCCGGCCCTGAGTCACCGTTGTACCTGGGAGGCACTTGGGGTGCGGCCGTCCTGGGCCTGGGGTGCCAGCGTCTCTGGCAGGGGCCCTGAGGGCATGACCACCCTTGACAGGGTCCGTAGGGGCGCCATCGCCCGTGACATGGCCCTTGAGGCGTCACCGCCTGGCAGGACCTGGGAGAGACCCTGGAGGCGCTGCTGTGGGGGCGTCACTTTCCATGGCAGGGCCACTAGGGTCGTCGTCATTTTTGGGGCCCCGCGGGCCTCCGCTGTCCCTGAGAGCCCCTGGGGACGCCACGGCCCATGGCAGGGCTGCTGGGCACCATCGTCACTGGGAGGGCTCCTGCATCGCTGTTCATGGTAGAGTCCTGGTGACGCCAGTGCCCGTGCAGGCTGAGGCGTCACTACCTTGCAGGGCCACTGGAAGCTCTGCCCTCCTTGGTCCCCTGGGGGCACTAGTGCTCTAGCACGGCCTGGGGGCCGCTGTCCCTGGGAGGGCCCGTGTAGCCGTTGCCGTCCCTGGAGGGCCCTGGTGGCGCCGCCGCCTGGGAGGGCCCCTGGGGAGCGCTGGACCTGTAGGGCCCCTATTTGCAGTACATTTTGCGCTATTTAGAACTCTGGGAGATGCAACGTTAAATCCTGTTACACCGCCCATCACATTCCATATCATCGCATCCAACAGACTAACATAAGTTGTGGTATTTTGTGACTCTCCTCTCTTCTCCTATTGGCTGTAATTTCTTGGGTTAAAAGAATAGTGCCGCCGTTCCTGAAGGGTCCTTGGGACCGCTTCTGTCCCTGGGAGAGTTCCTGGGGGCGCCGACGTCCCTGAACGGCCCCGGGAAAGTACCTGGGGTGCCAACAACCATAGCCGGCCCTGGGGACGCAACGGACCATGGCAGGGCCCTGGGGCACTGCTCCTGGGAGGGCCCGTGTAGCCGTTGCCGTCCCTGGGAGAGCCTCTCATACGCCCCGCTTCAGCAGAGCGCCACCGCCCATAGCAAGGCCACTAGGGTCGTCGCTGTTTTTGAGAGGGGCCCGCGGGCATCGCTGTCCCTGGGAGAGCCCTGGGGGCGCCTCGGCTCTTGGTAGGGCTGTTGTGGCGCCACCGTCACTGGGAGGGCTCCTGCGAGCATCACTGTTCATGGTAGAGCCCTGGTGACGCCACCGCGCCGTGCAGGCCCCTGAGGGCGTCACTACCCCTTGCAGGGCCCTGGAGCTCTGCTGTCCCTGGTAGGGCACCTGGAACTACGCGCTCCTGGCAGGTCGCCTGGGGCCGCCATCCGGAGGCCCGTGCCGCAGCCATCCCTTGGAGAGCCTCTGGCAGGGCCCCTGGGGGCACTACCCCCGCTGGCAGGGCCCCTGGGAGAATCCGTGGACGCGCCGCCGTCCCTGGGAGAGTCCCTGGGGGCACCAGAGACCCTGGCAGGGCGCCTGGGGATGCTCCCGTCCTTAAGAGAGCACTTGGGAGCGCCCCCGCTCATAGCCGGGTCCCTGTGGGTGACACCGCCCATGTCAGCATCTAGGGGCGCCGCTGTCCCTGGTTGATCCTCTGGGGGCACTACCGCCCCTGACAGGGTCCCTGGGGGTGCCCCTGAGGATGCCAACAACCCTGGCAGGACCCCTTTGGTCGCCGGTGTCTCTGGTAGAGCACCTGGAGGTGCAGCCCTCTCTCAGAGGGCCTCTGGGGACGCCAGCGCCCACAGCCGGTCCCCTGGGGGCGTTAGCGCCCCTGTCATGACCCCCTGGGGTTCCTTCGTCTCTGGCAAGACCCCTCGGGTCGCAACCGCCTTTGGGGTTCACCACTGCCCCTGGCAGGGCGCCACCGCCACTGACAGGGCCCCTGGAAGAGACCCTGGAGGCGCTGCTGTCCCTGTGGAGGCAGCCGTCCCTAGAAGAGCCCCTGAGGGCGTCATCCCTCCTGGCAGGGCCTCTGAGAGCGCCAACGGCCATGGCACGGACCCTGGGAGAAACAATGGAGGCACTGCCGTCCCTGGGAAGGTCCCTGGAGAGGCAACGTCCCTGAAAGTGTCCCTGAGGGCGTCATCGCCCCTAATAGGGCCCTTGAGGGCGCCCCCGCCTATGTCAGGGCCACTAGGAGCGTCGCCGTATTTGAGAGGGCCCCCGGGAGTGCCGTTGTCCCTGTGGGCACCACGGCCCATGGCAGGGC